GATACTAGCCCTTTATCTGATATGTCATTGGCAAATACCTTCTCCCATTCTGTCGGTTGTCTTTTGGTTTTGTTGACTGTTTCCTTTGCTGTGCAAAAGCCTTTTTCTTGACCAAGTCCCAATAGTTCATTTTTGCCTTGTTTCCCTTGCCGTTAGAGACATGTCTAGCTAGAAGTTGCTGCAGCCAAGGTCACAGAGGTTCTCTAGGATTTTAATGGATTCCTGTCTCACATTGAGGTCTTTCATCCATTTTGAGTCTATTTTTGTGTATGGTGTAAGGAAATGGTCTGGTTTCATTCTTCTGCATGTGGCTGTCCAATTTTCCCACCACCATTTGTTGAAGAGACTGTCTTTTTTCCATTGGATATTCTTTCCTGCTTTGTCAAAAATTAGTTGACCATGAGGGTCAGTTTTCTCTATCTTAATTCATAGTAATTATTTATATATTCTTTTTAAAAGCAGCTTTATTGAGATATAATTCATATTCGTTACAATCCACTCATTTAAAATATATAATTCTATGCCTTTTTTTTTTAAAGATTTTATTTATTTGACACAGAGAGAGAGATAGAGAGAGAGAGCACAAGCAGGGGGAGCGGCAGGCAGAGGAAGAGGGAGAAGCAGCCTCCCCGCTGAGCAAGGAGCCTGATGTGGGGCTCGATCCCAGGACCCTGGGATCATGACCTGAGCCGAAGGCAGCTGCTTAACCGACTGAGCCACCCAGGTGCCCCTAATTCTATGGCTTTTAGTATGCTTAAGAGTTATGCAACGTGACCATAATAAATTTTAGAACATATTTATTACTCCAGAAAGAAACCCTTTTAGCCATCAGCCCCCATCCTCGATCCCTACCCTAGTCTTTGGGAACCAGTAATCTAATTTCTGTTTCTATGATTTGCTTGCTCTGGATATTTCATACAAATGTAATCATACAATATTTGGTCCTTTCACTTTGTGTAATGCTTTCAAGTTTCATCCATGTTGTAGCACATATCCAATGTGTAGCATATTCATATTTCATTCCTTTTTGTTGCTAAATAATATTCCATTATACAGACATGTTTTATTTATCCATTCATTAATTTATGGACATTTGTGTTATTTCCACATTTTAAGGAAGATCCAGACTGTTTTCCAAAGTGGCTGCATATAGTTCCACCAGCACTGTCTGAGGGTTTCAGATTCTCCACATCCTTGCCAACACTTATCTGTCTTTATTTTTTTATTATGTTAATCACCATACATTACATCATTAGTTTTTGATGTAGTGTTCCATGATTCATTGTTTGCATATAACACCCAGTGCTCCATGCTGTATGTGACCTCTTCAATACCCATCACCAGGCTAACCCATCTCCCCACCCACCCTCCCCTCTAGAACCCTCAGTTTGTTTCTCAGAGTCCATAGTCTCTCATGGTTCGTCTTCCCCTCCAATTTCCTCCCCTTCATTTTCCCCTTCCTGCTATCTTCTTCTTCTTCTTCTTTTTTTTTTTTTTTAACACATAATGTATTATTTGTTTCGGAGGTTACAGGTCTGTGATTCAACAGTCTTACACCATTAACAGCGCTCACCACAGCACATACCCTCCCCCCATTGACTTACCTGTCTTTAAATATAGCCATAATTGAAGTGTATCTCATGGTTTTGACTTGCATTCTCCTGTTGGCTAATGATGTTGAACAACCCATTTTTCCTTTTTTAAAAGTTTTTAATTCCATTTAGTTAACAATGTTATATTAGTTTCAGGTATATAATATAGTAATTCAACACAGTAATTCACCCTGTGCTCATCTCCACAAGTGCGCTCCTTAATCCCTGTCACCTATTTGACCCATTCTCCCACCTCCCTCTCCTCTGGTAATCTGTATAATTAAGAATCTCTTGAACAATGCATTTTTCATCAGGTTATTTGTCTATTTATTGTTGAGTTGTGACAGCCCCTTATATATATTCAACATACAAGTCCCTTATTGTATGTTTTTCAAAATGATTTTTTTGTGTTCTGTGGTTGTCTTTTCACTTTCTTGATGATGTCTGTTGAAGCACAAACGTTTTTATTTTGGTGATGTTTAGTTTGTTTATTTTTTTATTTGTGTGATATAGGAATCTAAATTGATTCTTTTGCATGTTGAAAAGACTGTTCTTTCCCCAGTGAATAGTCTTGGAACCCTTGTTGAAAAACCAATTGACCATAGATACATGGGCTTATTTTTGACTCTAAATTCTGTTCTGTTAATCTGTGTATCTATTCGTATTCCAGTTTCATATGTCTTGATTACTATTCCTTTGTAGTAAGTTTTGAAATTGGGAAGTGTGAGTTCTCCAACTTTGTTCTTTTTCAAGATTGTTTTGAGTATCATGGATCCCTCTAATTTCCATATGAATGCTAGGATCAGCTTGTCTACTTTCTGCCTAGAAGTCAGCTGAATTTTTGATAGGGATTGCTTCATGTGTATATCAGTTTTGGAAGAATTGCCACCTTCACAACAGTAAGTCTTCTGATCCATTGACATGGCATATCTGTTTCCATATTACCCCCCTCTTTTTGGTGTTGTTTTTTTTTTTTAAGATTTTATTTTTTTAACTAGTCTCTACATGCACCATGGGGCTCAAACTCATGACCGCAAGATCAAGAGTTGCATACTCCACCGACTGAGCCAGCCAGGTGCCCCCATTTCCATACTCTTAATACAGGCAGTTTGTCTACTTCCTCTAGATATGGATGTTCAGTTGTGCTGTATTTTTAGCAGTAGTGGAATTGAAGTCCTCATGCCTGGATTGTCAGGCATAGTGCAGAGGTTTAACTATTGCTCTTCATTACAGATGAATTGATATAAAACAGATATTTGGAAATCATGCAAAGAAAATAGTATGACTAATACCTGCTTTATGCTTTTCACACGAACCTTCACATAAAAAGTGGCATGGTCTGTTTTGCAGTTTGGTTTTTAAGATGATCATTTTTATCCTAAATATGGCATAGGAGAGGAATTGCTTCAGGCCGACTTTCAGGTCTGTTACCTGGAGATAGGGGTTCATATCAGAAGAGTAGCTTAAATGGCTGTAAGGAGGGCGGTCCTTCAAAATTCTATAAAATATTTAAAACCCTATCTCACATTTGTGTTTCTCTGTCATAAATAGTCCTCTTCAGGCTTGTCATGGTCATGTACCAATGATGTAATAATGATGATTATACTAGAAGCACCAAAGGCAGCTATTGGTATGATGTGTAGTAGGGGCTCTGGACATGGTTAGGTTGAATAAGTATTCCAAGAACCCACATGGAATTTGCCATCTGGGGCAGAGAACTTTGATGCATGAGTGATGAAAAAACTGCTCCCCAGTGACTATTGTGATCTCCCAGACAGTATACGACAACGAAGTAGTAAGTGCCTCTTGTCTTGTGTAATGTGAACATAAATATTCAGACCGTTTGTTGGGCACAGTGCTCCATCTTGTGTCAGCATCATCAAAGGCTTAAGATAGAGAAGATTATGTAATGTATAGTATGTAGACACTAACATTTTATTATTGATTGTAGTATCTAGACATTAATATCACCTGTATTTTCCTGTTTTATTGGTTATCAATGATCATCCACCTTTTATAACACTAAACTTTTAAAAACAATATTCTTTTCGTTCATTTTCTCGTAGTGTTGATCCCTTCTAGTTTCTTATTCCTTCTTGTTTGTTGATCAGAGAATCTGATGAAAGAAATTAATTCTATGAGTTCTGTTGCTCATTGGTTTGGTTAGTAATACTGCCAGAGGTGGGGCCAGCCACACAAACACCTATTTCAGTCCAGAGCAGAGTTTGGGGAGAGGTGGAATAGTTGGCTGCTCTTCAGATGTGACCTTAGGGTTGGGCAGAATAAATGGCTACTCATCAAACATTACCTCAGAGTTGTTAGGCCTTGTTGTTTACACTCCGTGCCTATTGTCCCACCCTCCAATACATGGTTAGTAAGTGAAAATCCCCAAATTAGAGATTCATTCTTTGGTTTAATGCTTCCATCCTTTGTTAAAATTCAAATAGCATGAAACATTGCTACATTAAACCTTATGGATAATTTGGGTATATAATTGGTTTTGTGTACAGAGTTTGATAAATTTCAGTGGGGACAGAGTGGGGGGATAGAAAACACACAATCCAGTTACCAGGGACTCGAGGAATGTAGGACAAAACCAGAAAAAAAGACAGGTGGGCCTAGAATCACTTATTTAGAAACTATTATTTTACCTAAGGGCAGCCTTCTTAGGATCCCAGGAATATCCAGGATGACCCTCATCTTCCCCAGAAAGTTCCGTAGAACAGGGTTAGCACTACAGGGTTTGGGCCAAATCTAGCCTGCCACCTGTTTTTGTAAGTAAAGTTTTATTGGAACATAACCATTCTCATTCATTTTCACACTTACTGTGGCTGCTTTCACACTACAACAGCAGATTTGAGTAATTTGGAAAAAAAATATGGCCCACAATGCCTAAAATATTTCTCTGGCCCTTTATAGGAAAAGTTTGCCAACAACTGGTCTAGAGAGTCTAGACTTTCAGAAGGTTAAGCAGAGATCATAGATATTTTAAATTTATTTTAGACTTTTTAACCTTTAATCCTACCATTATGTGAATTCAAGGGCAGTGGTTTTAAGGAAAGATCACTACTTCTATCAGAATGAGTGCTTTTTCAAGAAAAAAATTTAACTTCAGAAATATTCTTAAAATAAAGGATGGCACTGCTGTTTAAAACCTAATGGCCAATGGAAAATTAATATCTGATTATACGTGTACCTGATCCATAGCCTCTTTTAGGTGTTCCCGTCTTATTACATGAGAAAAATGTTAAAATTTCCCCCATAAAACGTTTATCTTCTGTTGTTTTTGAATACCGAGTATTTATGTCAGACATTGTAACTGCTTCGAATATAAATATAAAATGCTAATGTCACTGTTGGAAATTTGAAGTGTTTTAGGTCAGTTATGTCTTGTCGTCTCCCTCTCAGCTTTAGGTCCATGGCCCAAAATGACTCTACCACTGGAGACTCTCTTCAGTAAAGAAGACAACCAGACAGGAGGCTGGGATGAGCATGCCACTGCATCAGATCTCTGCCATTCCAACCCAGGATGCCACCTCTGCTAGAGTCTACAGAAGTAAGACCAAAGAAAAGGAGAGGGAAGAGCAGGTATTAGGAGAATACTTTTTTTTAGTTTCATTATTTTTGTTGTTTTCATTATATATGGTCTAGAATGGTAAGCTCTGATGATCAAGGTTTTTTCCAGTAATATACTAAAATGCATATGGTGTAAATAGTTGGGCTTAGAAGTTTTCTCTGTAGATTTCTAGGTTTTCAGATTTTGGTATCAACTTATTCTGCTATGGTAATCCATGACTTACTTCATCTTCATTGCCTAAAGTGGTATGATTATTTTTGGTACATCTCTGAGAAAAAGTTCTTTGAATTCTCAGAACATGATACAAAGGATAAATTAATTTGAACCAAGATTTTATAAATACCTCATACATACTAGTCCCTGTTTACTGCAAGGGTATCATAGTTAACAGCACAGAGCCTATCTCTGCCCTCATATGGCTCTTGATCTGGCCTGACAATTAAAATGTGTTAGAGTCTAATAACAAGGTCAGTGATGAAGGAATGCAGGACCACTGAATTCCAGCCCAAGGGGTCAGGAATGGCTTCCTGGAGAAAATGACATTTACATAGAGACCCTGAAGGGTGACCTGGAGTTAGCTAAAGAAAGGTAGAGTATCCCAATTGGGAGAAATATTATATGCTGAAAGCCCAAAGGCTAAAGCAACTCCAAAGTGAGTTTGGAGAGATTAAAATAGAATAACTGGAACATAAAGGGTAGTGGCAAGATGGGAGGTTGGAAAAGTTACAGGAGTTACCATAAGGAATTTGGGTTTATCTTTGCAGAAGAGTGAATGATCAAATTTGTGTCGTTAAAACTTTTCACTTGGAGTGCAGTTTGGAGAGTGAATTGAATGAGTGTTAGAGAGACTAGTTAGGGGATTATTTAATAGCCTACTTAGGCCAAATTTGGCAAACTTTATTCGTAAAGAGACAGGTAATAAATGTTTTAGACTTGGTGGGCTAGTCACATCTCCTCAGTTCTGCCACTGTAGCATGAAAATAGCCGAAGGCAATATATAAATGAATGGTTATGCCAATAAAACTTTACTTGCAAAAACAGGTGACAGGCCAGATTTGGCCTGTAGGCTGTAGTTTGCCAATTCCTGGCAAGGAAAAGGTGTTGGTGATTTTGTCTAGGATAATGTAGTGGGGATAGAGAGATAATTAGTTTATTAATTCACTGAGCTTGATAATTGCATGGGGGTGAGATAGGGAGGAATCAAGGATGACTCCTATTTTCTCCTTGCCTTTACCATGTGCTGTGTAGACATGTGCTCATTAGTTCTCACAGCCTTCCTATTTTGTAGTAAATCTTTACCGAAGACTCTAAAGAATCCCTGTTAAATCAAAAAGTAATGTCTTGTTTGAAGTTGAGTCATCATAGTTGATGGAACACCACTCTTTGCCTTATTACATAAATAATGAAAAAAACCCCCGAATCTGTCACATCATAGCTCTTGAAGTACATGGACTATAGAAAATGCAAAGGTACCGTATAACTTAAAAGAGGTCTCTATATTCTTAGTTTGTGTTTTCCTTTTTTCAGTTGTTTGTGTCGTCAGTCTGCACCCTTTCTGTTTTGCTGAGCTCTTAGGAGGAGTGTGGTCAGCATTAGTTGAAAGGCTGACCAGGGGTGGTGCTGGTGTAGATGTGTTTTGGATATATCATTTTCAGTATTTCAGTTTTTCCTCAATTTGCTGGAGATGGGAGAATGCCCTATCTTTCCCATATTCTTTCAGTTTTCATTTAATAGTCTTCATTTAAGATTCATTTAAATTAATGGTCTTTTCTTGTAACCCTTTAGTCCAAATGGATTTTTTTTTTTAAGATTTTATTTATTTATTTGACAGAGAGCACACAAGCAGGGGGAACAGCAGAGGGAGAGGGAGAAGCAGGCTTCCCGCTGAACAGGGAGCCCGATGTGGGGCTCCATCCCAGGACCCCGGGATCATGACCTGAGCCAAAGGCAGCCGCCTAACCGACTGAGCCACCCAGGCGCCCCCTAGTCCAAATGGATTTTTTTTTAATATTTTATTTATTTATTTGACAGAGAGAGAGATAGTGAGAGCAGGAACACAAGCAGGGGGAGTGGGAGAAGGAGAAGCAGGCTTCCCGCTGAGCAGGGAGCCCGATGCGGGGCTCGATCCCAGGACTCTGGGACCATGACCCGAGCCGAAGGCAGACACCTAACGACTGAGCCACCCAGGCAAATGGATTTTTAAATACTGCTACATAGAACATTTTTTAGTCTAGGGTGCTTGCCTATACCAAATAGAGGTTGCTCGGTGCAGTGTCAAATTTTGACGCCAGATGGCAGGAATTTCTTGATATGGAAGCTATACTTGTTTGGAATAAAGGAAGAAATCCAACATTTTAGGCCAGGAAGAGAGAGATTCTTTTGGATATAAAACCCTATTGCAGGTTTGTTGTAGTGGATATTCAGTAAATACTTACTGAATTGATCTATTCATTGGGGATTTTAAGGTTTAAATAAGTAGCATTAATGACTGTATTCACAGAATTGGGATTTTAATCGTATTGGGAAAAGGCACCATTCTGTCCCACTTTAGCGTGGGGAATAGTTTGGATGCCTGATGGCAGTCTGACAGTTCTGGGAATCAAGGTGCAAGGTGAGGCTGCAGGTGGGGGAGTTGCAGCCGGGACAGGAGCTTGCAGGGCCCCATAACCATTCAGCAGCAGCTGGCGCGGTGCTGAAAATGACTTCTGTGGCTGTCTCGGTTCTGAAATGTGGCATCAGAATTGATTTGGAAGGCACATTTTTGTCCATTGGCGTCTCTTTGCCTTTATCCAGTTTCCCTGGCACAGTGAGTTCAAAACAGGATTCTTTGGTATGATTTCTGATCTCCTGTGTTTGGCAGAGGAGGCAGGAGGGAAAGAGAAGCAGGCAGATAGAGGCACTCCTTCCTTCCTGCTCATCCACCCACTGTTCTCAGAACTGCAAAGGTTGAGCTTTATCTCAGTCTCTGGGATAGCGTGAGATGGTTCATTCCATCAGTAATGATTTTATTCTTTCTGAATCTTGTGAGAAGAGCGGGGTTTGCCCAGAATCAAATAATCTAACCCTTAACGTCGACAATTTTACCTGTGTTTATCAGATGTGTGATTCTGTAGCATCCACTGCAGGAGCCCATATCTCTACAGTTCTAAGAAGAGTTAATGACTTTTACAGAGTATAAGTCCATACAGTTGATGAATGAATGAATGAATTTAGTTTTAATGGTATGGGGACCACTGTGGAATTACGAGGAATGTTTTATAATAAAAGGATTTCTGCTGCTGTTGCGTATGAACTGGGTAGACGTTTCTTGAAGATTTTTTTTTTCTTAGTGTTTTGAAAGTATCGATCCATTGCTTTCCAGACTCTGGTCTGCATTTAGAAATCTGATATGGAGGTTGTTTGCATTTGGGAGACTATTTTTTTCTTATAGTTTAGAGAGTTATAATTTCTTATCCAGACTTAAACTGTCTTGTGGTTCGATAGGTCCTGTTAACTTTTTCAAGATTATTTTTTGTTATGTTTTATTTCATTTTTAAACAGCTTTATTAAAGTATAATTGACATATAATAATACATATTTAAAGTGTATAGTATCTTCTCAAGCAAGATTGTGAACATATCCATCACTCACAAAAGTTTCTTCATGCCCCTTCCTCAAGCAATTATTGATCTGCTTTCTTTCACTATAGATTTATTTGCATTTTATATAGATGGAAGTATATGTTATGTACTTCTGTAAATCTAGCTTTTTTCTCAAAGATTAATTCTTTTGAGATTCATCCAAGTTGTATGTATCAATAGTTATGTCCTTTTTTATTTATTTAAAAATTTAAAAATTAAATTTAATTAATATATAGTGTGTTATTAGTTTCAGAGGTAATTTAGTGATTCATCAGTTGCATGTAGCATCCAGTGCTCATTACATCACATGCCCTCCTTAATGCCCATCACCCAGTTACCCCATCCCTCACCCACCTCCCCTCTAGCAACCCTCAGTTTGTTTCCTATAGTTAGAGTCTCTTATGGTTTGTCTCCTTCTCTGTTTCATCTTATTTTTCCTTCCCTTATGTTCATCTGTTTTGTTTCTTAAATTCCACCTTTGAGTGAAATCATATGATACTTGTCTTTCTCCGACTGACTTATTTCACTTAGTATAATACCCTCTTCGTTCCATCCATGTCATTGCAAATGGCAAGATTTCATTCTTTTTGATGGTTAAGTAATATTCCTGTGTGTGTGTGTGTGTGTGTGTGTGTGTGTGTGTGTGTGTACTAAGTTGGTCCTTTTCTTGCTGAGTAGTATTCATTGTATGGATTTATCACAATTCCTTTATTCATTCTCCTGTTGATGGACATTTGGATTGTTTCCAGTTTTTGGTTGTTATGAATAAGGCTGCTCCTAACATTCATACACGCCCTTGTATGGACATATATTTCCTTTCCCTTGGGTAAATACCTAGTAGTAGAAACATATGTAGATGTATGTTTAACTTTTTAAGACAGTGCCAAACTGTTTTCCAAAATGATTGTACCATTTGACATTCCTACCAGCAGGAGGGGAGTTCCAGTTCTTCTACGTCTCTGCCAAAACTTGATATGGTCTGTCTTTTTAATTTTAGCATCTAATAGGTGTATACTAGCATCTCAATTTGGTTTTAATTTGCATTTCCCTCACGAGTATTGATATTGAGCATCTTTTCATGTGCTTATTTACCATCCTTGTCTTTTTTGTTGAGCCTCTTTAAATCTTTTGTACACTTAAAAAATTGGTGGCCTTTTTTCTTATTGTCAAATTTTGAGCATTCTGTATGTATTCTAGATACAAGTCCTTTATCAGATATATGCTTTACAAATGTTTTCTTCCAATGTCTGGATTGTCTGTTAATGTTCCTGCCAGTGTCTTTTGAAGACTAAAGTTTGGTTTTAACCTTTTAAATTTTGGTGAAGTCAAATTTATCCTTTTTGTCCTTGTATTTATTGTATTTTTGGTCTTCTATTAAGGAAGCTTTACTT